AATAAAGGAGAAAGGGGAATTGCCAACGGAAGTCTGAAAATGCCTAACTCATCCAGGACTTCCGTCAACGGCATGATCAAGAAAGTCTAACAGGACAAGGAAAGGTCTGTCTTCTCCATCACCAGTGCATTCTAGGTGTAGAAAATCTGGAGTCATGTCATCTGTACCTGGTGAACATAACCCCCATGATACCTGTGCATTTTAAGCAGCAGTCATTTTCTTCTCAAGACAGAAACAAACAGGCCTCTGTAATCTCTGCTGTACTCTTCAGTACCTTTAGAACTGCCTGAGAGAAAACTCCAGCAAGGGAACGGGGTCTGATGCTTCACATGCCGCAAATAAGCAGAAATAATTCCTGAACAACATGCATACATTACAAGAGATCATAAACACGCACAAGACAGAACCAACACTGGTCTAAAGAGACGCTGTTTCAAAAACAGGCGCACATGTGCACACTCACAGGCCTACTTTTTAATCTAATTACAGCTTAAACAGGAGCACAGGCACAACTGGTGATTCAAATTAATGAATCAAGGATTAGGTTAGCTTCAAGGTCAGTGATACCAGAATCAAGCTCTCCACTGTCTTCCCTGCAGTCTGCAAGTTAAAAGTACAGCCTTTGAAAGAGGGAGGTAGGTAGGGCCTTTCCTCAATCATCGCCAAGGTACAGGATAATGATAATGAACACGTGGATTCTAACATAAAATGCTTTATCATTTCCTTAAAGAGTGAAAGAACTAAAAGGGTATTGAGAATGGACATTTGTCTTATTGACAGACACCCGTTCCATGCACAAGGTGGCCTTAAGGCTTCCTAATGACAAGCAGGAGAACAGATGGCTTTTTCTACTATCACTCAAAGATGTCAGCTTCTGCCTGGGCAAGGCTGGAGGACAGTTAGCACACAATGAACTCTGACAGCTTAAAGGGGCCTTTACACCAAACTTTTTTTGACAATGAAGCAAACTGATACTGCACATCTCAGATTTTTCTTCCAAAAAACTTTTCAATAAGAGTAACACCTGCCATTTAGACATAACCTGAGTCCTTCCACACAAACACCTCATTGGAACCTCCCAACAGCCCAATGGTGCACACAGGGCAGGGCTCCACACTTTCACGTTAAAGATGAAGGAACTCAGGCTGGAGACATCAGCTAACTGAGGGGTGAGAGCACACAGCGACAGTCCCTAATGGATCCAGAAATACATCTACAGGAGAAAAATGATGATTTCCACTTCTGCACTTCACGCCTGTGTCTTAGAAAGGTAAAAGTTGTATCTTATTCATCACTGATGCTGTGATTTCTCTCCTCATTTAGGTGGACTTGTTCCCCTTGAGGCCTGACACCTGCCCCTGTGCTAAGTGGCATAAGTTGCTCTGATTTCCCTGGTGTAAGTTTGGCAACAAGTGAACCAATTCAGGGGAGGAGTTCCAAGTGATCTGCAGTCACCTTGATTTTCTGTGACTTTGGTCCTTGGTTTTTATAATTTTGGTCCAGAATAACTTCCAAAATAAGCCAGATCCTTTAATGTTACCTAATTATCAAGCTAGTGAAATTTTCATTATATGTATTTTCAAATCTTCATTTTCCCCATGATTAGCCTTTATTTGAAGTTGACTGTTAAAGGACAGCATACATTATTTAAGAGCCCTAACAAACCTTCAAGTATCAAACAAC